GCATCCTCAAAATCAACTGCAGGTTCGTTAAGGGCATCCCCCCCCCCCCCCCTCTGGCTACGCGACTACATAACACACACGCATCATGCTATTATCGCACACAGAACGAAGCGTCAGTCGAATACGTGTCAAACGCATGCTGGGAGCATGCTCAAACTACTGCAGACTCTACGTATGACGGGTTTTCATTACTGGCCTGCCGCGCGGCGGCAGCGGCGACTCTAAGGGAGACGCACGGCGATGTTAGTGAAAAGGTTGAGCCACGTTGTCGCACGAGAAGCTGTGCGAAGGGTCTAAGCACGCACGCAGACGACGACGACGACGACGGCAGGCGGTGAGTGGTGGTCTAGCTATATGTAAATGACACACGCCCCCGTGCTGGCCCGCGCCGGTACCTCTGCGGTTCTTCGGCCTGTCCTCCAACAGATCCGACTGGTCAAACATCGCATTGAAATCAACATTTAACAGACTGTCAAGGTCCTGCTCGCTGATGCCGCTCTCCTGCGGTTTCGGTGGCGGCGGCGGGGGCGCCGGCTTAGGCGCGGCGGCGGCGTGCCGGCCTGCGTAAAGCAAATGTCGTTTGAGAGAGCAAGCTAAGTAGTAGCTAGTAAACCAGCGACCGCTCCCTCCGGCTTGCTCTGGCGCACGCTAGCAGAAGCGCGTGAGCGACGACGATGGAGGAATTCTAATAGGAGCACTCGTCGTCGTCATGACGACGGGACGCGGCTACCTGCCCAGTGAGACGGCAGCGCTAGGCTAGAAAACGGAGAGAAAAAAACAACGAAAAAACACGGAGAAATAGTAAACGGCAGATGAGTTGTGAAGACGTGGCGAGTGGTAGAGATTCGTGGAGAAGAAAAGAGGGAAAGGAGGGTGAGGGAGAAGGGGATGAAAAAGGAGAGGGAAAAAGAGAGAGGAAAAAAGAGAGATGAGGAGGGTGAGGGAGAAGGGGATGGAGAGGGAGAGGGGAAAAAGGAAGAGGAGCATGAGGGAGAAGGGAATGGAGAGGGAGAGGGGAAAAAGGAAGAAGAGCGTGAGGGAGAAGGGGATGGAGAGGGAGAGGGGAAAAAGGAAGAAGAGCGTGAGGGAGAAGGGGATGGAGAGGGAGAGGGAAAAAGGGAGAGGAGGGTAAGGGAGAAGGGGATGGGGAGGAAGAAGGAAGGAACATAAAACAGATGCATACCGCTCATGGACAGCTGGCTGATATCCGGCTCATCTGGGTAGACGGTGATGGCTTTTCGGACGTTGCCCACAGAGGTGATCAGCTAGCAAAGAGCAAAGGCAAGCCCGGCGTTGACATACCATAGATGATAGGTGACTAGAAAAACTATTGTGTTTGTATAATCGTGCTGGAATACCATAGGTACATCGAGGCACACGGACTAGAAAAAGTGATTGCGTTTGTGAAATCAAGTGTATTTAAATTAATAAGAAAAATGTGAAATCAGATGCCAACGTATTTCTAACCTCTTCCTATCTTTATCTATCCCTCTCTCTCTCCATGCCCTCCATTGTCACCCTCTAACTCTCTTCATCAGTCTCTACCACTCTCACTCAGCAACTTAACTTAATAGGACTGAACGCTTATAAAGATTAGCATTGGTACTTTGTATAAGACGTTAAAGGTCTTCTACATGACTATCACATCTCACCCCCTTATTGGCTCCTCTCCACTGGGTGGCGGCAGCTGGGTTCTGAAGATTTGGTGCGAGTCCAGTTGCTCCCTGAACCATTCCATGAATGGCTATCAAAATGCAAATAAAAATAATTAACAGCTATCACATTGCATTAGCAGGTTACAATAGTTTAGGACCGTGTTTCCGCCCCCCCCCCCCCACCCGGGAACACCACCGGACACTCACCCCTATTGAGGTCATCAGAGAAATGTCGCAACTCAAGACGTGACATGCTGCGCCCAAGTTTTGACACTTTAGGCTCGTCACCACTGCCATGGCTATATACGTTACGAAGTTTCAGGTACAGACTGCCAGACACTCACCCCTGTTGAGGTCGTCGGAGGTGCCGTCCACCGTCTCCTTGAAGGACGGGTCCTCAGAGTTGTCCGACTCCTGCTTGGCGACCATGAGCACGCGGTTGGCGAGCCGCGCGATGTTCGACGTGTTCTCGACGAAGTGCGGCTGCTGGTTGCGCTTCACCGCCTCCTCGCACTGCGCCGTGTGCCGCAGGATCGTGTCCTCTGCGTGGCGGTCGTGAAGAAAACACGAGGAGTCACGCGACGAGGTGCAGACGCGAGATGACGGAGCGCGTGTGATTCGGACGATAACAAATGTCGAAGTGAAATTCTACTGATTTGTTTAATTACGACCAATCATCGCGTGATTGTGTGAGCCTAGTCGTTTCGTCATTGCATTATTCAGCAAAGCAAGACCAAGGAATATATATATATATATATATTTGGTACTAATACATTTGTTATTAATTATTATTTATTATAAACATTCATCAATATAATCTCAAAGAGTAAATCATCTTTGAGATTGTTTACTTCTGATATACATTAATATTTAATAATTATTTAAGGCTTAGTTTGAAATTTCATCAGAAGAAGCTTGAGCAAGAAAAAACACAATTCCCTCTGTGTAGAATTTCACCTGAATTACGAGTTCGGGTCAACGACAAATTTATTTCATTGCACGTATAAAGTATCGGAGTTCGGAGACAGCACGCTGATGCATGCCTGCTTAGAACATTGCACAGTGACTGACCTGTAGCCTTGATAAAAGCTGGTGTGTCGATGGCAATATCCACGAGGTTTCTCATCTGCGTTAGGCTGTCCGCATACTGCTTCCTCAGCATCTCAAAATGCTCATCCGCCGACTATGTGCGAACAAAACAAACGAGCATCTCATTTTACAATACGAGAGCAAAGAATGCAGGTGCGTGCTGACAACATAAACAGATGTTGATCTTTGTTAAGTACTAAGTAAACATCCCAGTAAAATGATAGACGTGGTCGAGAAAAAAGGATGCGAGCTTCTACAATGCCGTGGGAGTCCAAAATCTCTGTAATGACGCTTTCGCATCTAGTAACACAATAGACACATGGATATATTGATGGATTTTTAATTAGCGTGCTTAGATTGATGCCCATAATGCTCTCTCAAAATTGCATTAAATTTAGTTAAAAGTTGCGTGGCACAATGGTATATAGGAACTTTTGGGAACTACCTACACATTAAGAGTCCATTAACATTTTAGGAATGTTAATGGGTTCTTGTATACAGTTATAATATAGTATATAGTTACATAGTATATATATATATATATATAACTGATCTAATATATCAACGAATGTGTGAACGTGGAAACGTTAGTTAAACAGAGAACATGAATTGGTCCTAGATTAAGTTAGAAGACTCTATAGACATATCGAATGAGATATGTTGAAACGACCTACGGCCTATATGCCATGCTTCTTACTGCAATACAGCCGACCAAGAGAATTTGGCATGCATACCAGGTGCAAACTAAACCACCACTGCACACAATCTATCATCTGCACTCATGCCAGGCCACCCACCAACCCATCACAACAAATACGTGTCTTCGTGTAAGTATGGCTCCTACTTACCATTATCTGATTGAAAACGGACTACGGGTTAGCACAAACAGAACAACAAAATGCCAGGTTAGACAACAAAATGTCGGTTCACCAATTAACCAACTGCATCATGTCTACTGCAACTAGTAACTATGTTAGCAGCTCATAGCTCTGTCAAACTTTTACAACCGTTTCACAATCAGCAGCCCACAATAATGTAAACCCATTGCTTGCATTTAGGCTATGCTATGTTTCTCGGTTTCACTAAAATATAAGCTGTTGACATAAGGATAAAAAAAAACAATGAAAGCCATTACAAAAAAAAACGATGCGCAGATAGGCTGACACAGAAAATTAACTATAGCCGCGTTCACACGGAGCGAAAACGCAGTAACTAACCCAGTTCACTCTGGAGTGGGTGCGAAAACGACCCGGGTCGAAATGACACAGGTCGTTTTCGTACCGAGAAAACGTCCATGTGAACGCTTGGCCCCGGACGCATTTGACCCCGGTCCAAAACGACCAGGGTCAAAGTGCTCCGTGTGAACGTGGCTTATTATATTAGTTTTCGTCACAGAGACGCTCACTCACCTTGTTTGCAGGGTACATCAGGCGAATGCGGCCAGCGTTAATAAGTTGTGGGGTCAGGTCAGACACCTGTAACGAACATTACACGTGTGTCTGAGAACGATTCACACTTGGCAACTATTCAAGCGCATTTGAGAACAGTTTTCGTGGATATCAGAACAGTTTGAGCACATTTGAGAAGAGTTCAAACAGATTTGCATCACGAACGTTTGAACATTCAACACGTCTTGAAAAACTCCTTTTAAACATTTTTTCACACATCATTTTCGAATGTAAAATATTTTTTTTATAAAAATGGGACAGATCAGACTGTGTAAGTATGACAAATTAGCAGGGTTGTCATAGTGATGAACACCTTGACAGTAGTGACCTATCACCTGGAGTGATTGCAAGGCAGCTCTAGCCAATCAGTGTTGCAACTGAATACTCTAAAAACAATGCTTAGCGAATAAGTGCAGCAAAGCCGACATTTTGGCATACATGTCCAATCTGGTCCAGCTTGACCGACCTAACAACAATACCCATGGGGTGACCTTGACCAATCCTTGAGCGCTGACCTTGATCAGATGGATAGGTCAGCTGGAGGAGGAGGAGGAGGAGGAGCAGGAAGAGGAGCAGGAGGGGATTACCTGTCTAGCTGCCTGGTTAAGGGCCTCCACGGTCTTCTTGTCTCTGCAGCCGCCAGCGGCCGCGACCATGTAGGCTGTCTGAGATGCGTTCGTTGCATAGTTGGTCAGTCGGTTGGCCTTGTCCTCAAAGTCGGCAACTCTGTTCGGCTTGCCTGTTATACCGCAGAAACGACAGAAATTAAAGCACAAGTGTTAGTAACGAGTACAAGTAGTATAGCCGTGGTTCTTTGCTGGCTTCGAAATTAAAAATCAGGCCATCCGCACGCGCAAATTCAAATGGCAGTCACAACGACGACTTCTCCTAATGGGGAATGATGGTACCAATGCACTCTTTCTCCCTGAACTGCCTCAGATTAAATATCGTAGGCAGAACGAGGAGCTGGCTGACGGTACAGCCACAACAAGTATCGCTCGCACTACGTTGCCGCGTCTCACTTACTCTCCGGAGCCAGAGCGGCGTCGGTGAACTGTTTCAGTGGGGTCGTGATGTCAGCAAAATCCCCAACAACCTGCAACAACAACAACAACAGGTGCCGTGGATCCGTTTAACAACACGGCGCATTCTCGGCTGGGGCTCAAATGTGGTGATTTGAACAAGCTTCTGGTGAAAGTACACACATTCCGAGCCTCGAATGAATAACAGAATACCACGAATACCATCACCTGCAGTCAGGGTAGATAGCGATGTGAGCCTCTCTGGCATCAATCAGTGCACAGAATTCTTTCGGGGTTTTGAAAGGGGAGGTATAGCACCTCAGCAGAACCAAACTTGGGGAGTCGACGGTCACCCCATGACCGTCAGAACATTTTAAAATGATGCGTTTGCTTTGGATACATTTTGAGAGTTATTCTGAGGAAAATCTTTCAAACGTCTAAAAAAATGTCAAAAAACTAAACAACATATTTTTGTGAAGAATGAGTAAGGATTTTGTGGTGACACCCAAGACCTGAACTCTGCTTAAACATTACACAGCAAAAAATCACTTTTATGAGAACACCTGCATTAATATTAATAATATTATGAAAGATCGCATTACCTGCTGCACCAGCGCACTCTGTATCCTGTCCTTGAGTTCATTCAGCTTGAACCCAAGCTGCCTTGCTGTTGCCTGTGCCTGGGGACTGTTACCCTATAACACGCATAGATGCACAAAAACATGAACACATATTCATTCTGTACGGGGGTTTTAACATCGGCAACCGATACTTGCTGATAGGTTGGATGCTAGCCGCATAAGAGTCACAAAGATACACAAAAACATGAGCGTACTTGTTCTGTTTGGGGGGTTTTAATATGGGCGGCCAGATACCATGCAGCTGCATGGGTCAGATGCTAGCCGTGTAAGAAACTTGCTTTAGTTTACACGATGTTGTTAAACATAAAAACATGCTGTCTCCTCCTGCACTGCCTACATCTCCCTCTCTCTCTCTCTCTCTCTCTCTCTCTCTCTCTCTCTCTCTCTCTCTCGCTCTCTCTCTCTCTCTCTCTGGCTCTCTCTCTCTCTCTCTTTCCTCAGCAGCTGCAGTAGCAATTCTGTCTACAGGACCATAAAAACAGCATATTCATAAATCTGGAGATCTGTTGCTGGCCAGCGAGCTTACAAACAGATGTACACGGGCTCTTCCCATCCATATAATTCACTGTTCAATCATAATAATTTCTCCATATATGTACGCTGTAAAAACGTTAAATAAGTATTCAGTAGTATGTCAAGCATTCCCGGTGAAAGGTTACAGGATTAATGCCCGTAAGAGCCATGTGTGGATAGCACAAAAAGTTTACTTCCTAATAGTAGTTAGCACAGTTAATGCTAATCTTCTATGGAATTTTGTATGGATATAGCACACAAATCATTACATAAATATACTGCTCTGCGAATAAAAATGTAGAGATGGGCACCTTGTGTGGATTTTTGGGCACATTTCTATATTTCGAATACTACATTTTTTACTCCAACTTCATTTTAGCCACATAACCAAACTAACCAATTAAAATTCATACGCTTCATATAACTCACGAAACATTCTCATGAATTTAACGAAATCAATGCTGAACACTCCATCCCTAGTTTAGACCGAATCACGCAATCTCAGATCTAATGAATTTCTCCAGACCTTCGATAAGAACAACAGACACTGTCGGTAGTTGTCAGTTTCAGAAAGTCGAATCTGCCCAATTACATCACATAAATCACCGCACTCACGCACGGTATCAAACTCACTTACTGACTAACTCACCCAAAGCAATGCATAATAATTAATCTCCGGTTTAAAATACCACTTGCCCCCTCTCAAAAAGACTAATAATTGTTTTGCCCCTCCCAAAAGTACTAAAATTTTTGCCCCTCCCAAAAATACCAAAATTTTTGCCCCGTCTCAAAAAAACGAATAGATTTTTTTTCCCTATTCCCGCCAAAATCCAATAATTTGCCCACACACACACACTGGCACGCGTGACGCGACGGAACCTCCGTCTGCACCGCGCGCCGTCGTCGGGGGGGGGGGGGGGAGGAGGCCAGGGTGTTAGCCAGGAAAAAAAATCACAGGGAGTCTCACCATCTGATCGAAGCGAGGATGCTGCGGGCCCGAAGCGCCCTTGGGGCTAGGGGGAGGGTGTGGGAGGGGTTTTCCCCCTCCTACAGTGTGGAAATTTTTTTTACAATTGGGCCGCTCTCATGCTGTCCCTATCAAATTTCATCCCTCTCACTCAAGAATAGGCCGTCCAAAAGACGGGTAGACGGGTCTCTGGCTAACACACGCTCAGGAGGTAATTACGTACGTACCTGGCCTCTCCTGACGAGGTCGCGTAGTTGGTGGGCTAGCTGCTCTACCTCGTCGCAGGTACGCAGCAGCTCACCGCGCTCCGGTCCCGCGAGACCCTGCGCGACCTTGCGACCTTCTTCGACGACCATCGTCGTTGCCTGGTAACCTGCAGCAAACGGAAGCTGTCAGCGAGGGTCGCTACATTCACTACGTGTGGTCACTAGAGCTGAGAAAGTGTAGCGAAACTAATGCCACACATACTAGTCAGCTACACTAAAGCCAAGAGTAGATAACAACTATGTTATTATCTACTCTTGCTAAAACCAAAGACCATCGCCGTTGCCTGGTAGCCTACAGCAGAGGGAAGCAGTAAGTGTAGCGAAACGAATGTTACACATACTAAACTATACTATAACTAACGACTATCGCCGTTGCCTGGTAGCCTGCAGCAGAGGAAAGCAGTAAGTGTAGTGAAACTAATGTTACACATACTAAACTATACTATATAACTAACGACCATCGCCGTTGCCTGGTAGCCTACAGCAGAGGGAAGCAGTAAGTGTAGCGAAACTAATGTTACACATACTAAACTATACTATAACTAACGACTATCGTCGTAGCCTGGTAGCCTGCAGCAGAGGGAAGCTGTCAGCGAGGTTCGCTATACATTCACTAAGAGTGGGGGGCAGATGATAGTAGAGTGGAACAAGTGCTGGGCATACTAAACTATACTATAACCAACGAACAACTCGCAGTCGCTGAGTAACTTGCAGCTATAGACCGGCCTGCATCAGAATCACTGCACGCACTGAGATAGCCGCGTTCACACGTAGCAAGAAATCTGGTATTTAGCGTTCACACGAGGCAAAATACGAGGCCCAAGAAATACGGTATCTAAACAGATCCGGTATTTCATGTAAATACGAGGCTTCCCAGACCCCGAATAATTTGCCGTGCT